TTCTGCCTTGCTATGAGGAGGTGGCCCTGCAGGGAGCTGCTATGACCTTTGCTGGAGGCAAGGAGTTGGGCCTGTTGACTGTAGCAAAGGGCTCCCTGCAGCCATGCCAAGCCCATCTGGGCTGGGCCATAGTAAAGATTTCTTCAGCAATGATGTCACAGTGGTGGGCAGTGTGGAATGTACAGGGTTCCCAAGCACTGGCAGCAAGTGGTTATCAGAAAGATTCTAGCAGGTGTTTTGCTACAAGCCTATTGTCCTAGATCTTTGCAGCCCAGCTTTATCCATTATGTTTTTACTGAGCCTCTGGGCTCCAGGGCTCCAAGTGTGGCTGCTACAGCTGCGGGTATTGGTCCTGGTGGCCCCACTTCTAGTTTGGGCTTCGTATCCAGTCCAGCTGAACTCTGAGTCTCTGGGGCCCTACTTTTTGTTTTTTCCTTACAAGTCTGATCTTCCACCAGGATGGCTCCATGCCCTTACTGCCCCTGCAGAGCCAAGTGGATTTGAGTACTTGGGGTCCTCTGAGCCTACCAAGATGTTGCTTCCATCTCAGGAGTCGACTGGAGAGCCATTGCCAGACCCAGATAAGTTTGCTGCTCCCCATCAGGGCCTGCATGAGAAGCTCGCTAGGCCAGAGAAGCTCCCAGAGGTGGTCTCAATGCTAGGTGGGGATGGGAATCAAGCTCTGGCTTTGCTTCGAGCCAAAAGGAAGCTCGAGGCTTTTACCCTGGAGTGGGCAGCAGACCACCAGTCACTTGTGCTTCTTCCACCTCTAGGGAAGAAGAATTTAATAGCATCGCAGTTTGCTTCACCTCTGAATCTGGAGAAGGATCTCTCTCAGCACTGGCACCTTGGGAACGAGGGTTGTGGAAGGTCTTACCAAGTCTGGCAAAGGGTTACAACTCAGCAGCCAAAGCTTTTTGTAATTGATGACCATTCTCCAGGCCCAGTTCACACTCAAGAGCTTCCTGGACATTCTCTAAGCCAGCAGGAGAGCTCAGCTCAGCCTCCAGGCCCCTGGAAGGAGGGTAGTAGTTCTTTGCTATCAGCAAGTAGCATGATGTTTTCACATCTAGGTGCAGGAGCGGTGTTCCCAAATCATCATTCAGTGTTGCCTAAAATCACAGCTACACCTAGGGGTCAGCTTACTGCGACTGCCAAGCCTACTCTGGAGGCAGAATCTTCCGTCACCCAGCAGGAAGACCCTGCTCAACCTAGAGTTCCAACTGAACAAGTTGAACTTTCTCCAATCCAGACTGATCCCCTCTCCCAGCCTGTGGAGACCCCTGAACAATCTGAATCTGTTCCAGCCCAGCAAGGAGTCATAGCGCAGACTCCAGATCTCTCGAAAGAGTTACATTTTGCTGCAACTCAGCAGGGGGCCCAAGGTCTGCCACTAGAGTTCCCCAAGAAGGCCAAACCTCGAATCCCCAAGGAATCATCTCTCTTGCTGCAGCCAGTCTTGACTCAGGTTCCAGCACCTCTTGAAACTGTTGCGCAGCTCTCAGTGGTGTGTGAAATGACAGCACCAGTGCTAGCTGGGGACCCTACTCAGCATCCAGTATTACCCAGTGTCACAGCACAGCTCCTGGTCATGGGGTTTACCACAAGTCCAGAGCCCACTACAGAGGCTGCGCATTCTGTGGCCCCGCGGAAGGCTGAAGCTCGTTCGCTACAGTACTCTGAGGTGATACTTGCACAGCCAGCCCAGGGCTGGGCTCAGCGTCCGCACCCGACTCCTGTCACACTTCAGCCTTTGGATGTGGAACATACTGTCATCTGTCGGCGTTCTGTAAACTATACTCCAGAAAGGGCCTTAACTGTGCAGAGGGAGCCGAATGCGACCAGAGCTGTCAACCTGTGTGAGCTCTGCTCCTGTGACAGTGAGACCCTGTCATGTGTTGGCCGCAGCCCGAGGCTGCTCTGGGTTCCTGTGCTAGAGCCTGGCACCTCCAACGCCTTCATAGCCTTGTAAGTCAGTTCCATCCTTTGTAGTCTGCATTCTGCCTAATGTGGCAGCCTTTTCTTCAAGTTCTTCTTGGGCTGTTCTCATCTCCCCAGTTCACACTGACTGACT